GTTAGTTGAGCTTTCCCACAATGAGATGAGAAGACCTCAGTATGCCATTAACTTTCACTGAGCCTTGCCTACCAAAAAGGATTCAAGAATTACTCCTATTCTCTGCATCTTCCTACATCAAAACTAAGTAACGTCATCGAATGCTCTAGCAAATGCATGTTCGCTAAACCCATAATCCTACTATAAGTGTGATTTTGACGAGGTAGGACCTACCTTGAATGCCACATCTGCCCTCTTACCCACTGATTCACGTGGTTGTATAGTGGATCGGTAACGTCACTAGGATACTTACGACTCAGTATCAGAGCCTGTAGAGGTACTGATGAGACGATAAAGCGAAGTCTAAGATACAGTCCATCCTAGATGAGATAATATTTTGGGAGGCAAGGCTAAGTTAAATTCAATAGAATCCTAAGGTCTATTTATCTTTTTTTTAAAAACTCCACCAGTACAGCTTACTTCACTTTAAGCGAACTGGAGAGACTAAGTGTTTATTCAAGAATTATCTGATCATACTGAAAATGAGTGAGGAAGATCTTTTATGATGCAATGGGCAGTAAAATCGTATGCAACGATCAAGACTGTTCTTAAACTGTATAGGGCAGAATCGTTATCGGCTCAACAGTTCATTCGCTACTGGTCGAAATCTACTAAATCAGGATCTTGACAGTCTTGAAGCAGGCAGATACTAAGCCAAAGTGGCTATATGTTTAGAACCAAAAAATAACTTAGAAATCTGTGAATATTCAAAAGATCCTCAGAGCCACCTAAAGCTGTCAAACCACGCACAAATTCATATATTTAGGATTCATCTGAATAATAAAATAGACTTCAAATTATGTTAAAATAAGACTTAATCTAAGATCATTATAAAATGTTGGATCGGCAATACAAAATACCGTGGATTTATTGCCTGGAAATGGATAATTTCGTGAACAACATTCCTGTCCCTCAAATTTCATTGCAGTCTTTATAACGTTTTCCCGAGGGTCCAACTGTCGTGGGGAGTTCAACAACGCTGCCTCGTCACTTGGAGTGGTCCCAGACGGAAGCTGGACACCAGCCAAGTTTACCAGCCTAGCATTTGCTGCCTTGGCAGGCCTCCGTTGAATTTGTGAAGCATACTCTAATTGTTGCCTTACCGATAGGCTTAGCTCGGCGCGTTGACTCTCGTCTACTTTTCCATGTTTTTTTGTCTTTGCTCTATTCGGTCTCCTGTTCTTGTTGAAGCCATTGCAGACAGGATAGTGACATCCTGGGCGCTTTCGCTTAAGTTGGGCGCTCTTTCCGATTGGAAGAGCACCACTCGCCACGTAGGACGAAAAATGCGCCTTTTCAGAACATCCCATCGGCGATAAAGGCTTGCCAGCACAAAATGAAATGGGGATCTGCGAAATGGGGCTTGGTGACTTGGCGATGGGAATTGGCGAGTTTGAGATGCCAAGATGGAGGTGCGCCAGGGCTGACGACCATGACGCCGAATTATTAGCCTGGTTGATAAGCAATGAATCAATGCTTCCAGAAAATAGTGATTCAGGCGAACTGCCCTAAGAAGAGAAGCATAAAGATAAGCTGCCATCAAGTGGAGGAAGAAATAAAAGAAAAGGCACAAACAAATGTATGTTATTGGACTTTTAATTTTGTATTACATTATGGATAAAAAGATTTGCCATTTGGCCTCCATCTGGTTTTTCGAACGAATTTAAGGGTCCACTTACATTGGAGGGATTCTTTGAAATCAAGCTAATTCAGTAACCCACAACAGAAATTGAGTATCCTCAAGATTTTTATACATTATCGACTCCAAGTATGGAGGAGTTTTTTATCATTACCGTTCATACAAATTGAATATTAAGTCCTAGCTCATTAAAATGTGCAATCCAGAATCGTGGTTATGAGAAACGAATGTTATTGGTATAATAAAAGTGATAAATAAGCGGAATACAATAGAACATGATACTAAATACCAAAAAGAATAGACGTATTTTTTATTATTAGATTGCGTAAAAATGAACAAAATTAGGGAGCCCTGTGCATATGTTCATTATTTTCTGCAAAGTTTTTTTTCAACAAGATTATATAATTCGTAGTCTCCGAATATTTAAACGCAAGCTACCACTTAAAGAGCTCTGAGGAAAATGAATAAGGAGCTCAGGAAATTTTATTACAGAAGTAGATGTGGACAACTTGAGCCTATT